CTACACCACGGCCTGACTACACCACGGCCTGACTACACCACGGCCTGGACTACACCAGGGGCAGACTACGCCACGGCCGGACTACACCGTGGCCGGGGCTGCACCATGGCCTGGGCTACACCGTGGCCTGACTATAGCGTAGTGCCTTGTGCAGTCAGTTTAAAGCACTTTACACAATTAAAATCTGACATCTGGGATAGTTCCTCATCTTTCTCTTTCCATATTTGCGCTTCTCTTATACATAAAAATAGTTGTGAAATTATTACATGACAACATGACCAACACAAAGCTACTAAGTGAAATTTAAGAATCCTTTCTAGTGTTTTTTTCTTAGACAAAAAATGCTATAGTCAGAATGCTATGTTTAAAAGTTACTTGAACTGTTATTTTCAGTATGATTACGTATTCAATTTAATATCTAAGTTTGTTTCTATTTGAATTCAATTTTAGGATTTTCCCATCATTAGTTTATTGACATCTCTCAATACAAAGGTATAATATATGTTAATATGTTATATTTTGTTATCTTAAATAATGTCATAAAGAACAACCTTGGGCATCGTCTTTTCGCATTGCTGGAAATGTATCTTCAGGGTAATTTTCTGTTATTTTACCGGGTACTGTCAGACTCACCTCCAGAGGGGGTATGACATTGCCTGTTTCCTCTCAGCCTTGTCAACGGAGTGGGTTGTCCGGCTTCTGAATTTTTTGCTAAGCTAATAGGTACGAAATGGCATCTGAGTGCAGTTTTTTGGTTTTGTTTGTTTTTTGAGACAGAGTCTTGCTCTGTTGCCCTGGCTGGAGTGCAGTGCTGTGATCTCAGCTCACTGCCACCTCCACCTCCAGCCTCAAGCAATTCTGGTGCCTCCGCCTCCTGAGTAGCTGGAATTACAGGCATGTGGCACCACACCTGGCTAGGTTTTTTTCTTTGTGGGTTGAGGTTTTTTAAATTATTTTTAGTAGAGACAGGGTTTTACCATGTTGGCCAGGCTGGTCTCGAACTCATGACCTCAAGTGATCCACTTGCCTCAGCCTCCCAAAGTGCTGGGATTG